TTTTTTTTTTTTAATGGGAACAAGGCGCCAATCTATTCGTGGGGAGCAGCACGTGCTGGGAAGTGGGCCCATCGTCCCATATGGAGATTTACATCGAATTTTGAAAATTTGAGATACGGGTGCCATTACCCGGCTTAGGCTAAGAAAAATTGGAGCTACTTAGGAAATTACTTCGACAAAATTCAGAGTTGGATAAAATTCAGAAAACAACTCAGGAGCCCCCCATCAATCCTCTTTTACCTCACTCCGGCAAGACTTACTGCAACAGAGCCACCATCTCCGTTGCTGCTGTACCCTATTTCCATCCTACCAGCTAGCCCCCGCACTAGTAGGACGCTTGATATCCCACCATCTATTTCTCCCACTCAACTAAAAGACTCAAACACCCCCAATCCGTCCCCTGTACCCCACTCCGACAAGACTTACTGCAGCAGAGCCACCATCTCCGCTGCTGCTGTACCCTATTCCTGTCCTACCAGCTAGCTCCCTTACTAGTAGGACGCGTAATATCCCACCTTCTCCTTCTCCAACTCATCTTGGTTTCTTGAGAAAACGTCTGAGCAGTACGAAAAACATGGGAATAAACCTCATAGATCCTACAAATGCTAAAAAACCTTTGAAATCCCTGACAAACCCTTTCAAAGCATTCCAACACTGTCCTACTCCCTGCCGAGCTCTTCCAGGTCTCACACCCCCACATCCTGCTGGGTTACAGGGCAACACAACTCACCCCAGCTTCGACCAGCGTCGTCCCAGCAGCAACCCTTAGTTGTCCCGTGGGATGCCCACCCCAAAGCATCCCCAGATCTCTCTACCAGGCCTCACGCTTTTGCATCAGCAGTTCACAGGGCAACACCCCAGCACCGGCCAGCGTCGTTCTGGCGTCGAACAGCTGCAAGTCACTGAGTATAACAGCATCGAAGCCTCCTAAGACTCTTCATAGGTGGCTTCGATGCTGTTATACTCAGTGACCTGCGGCTGTTCGACGCCAGAACGACGCTGGCCGGTGCTGGGGTGTTGCCCTGTGATCTGCTGATGCAGGAGCGTGCGGCTTGGTAGAGAGATCTGGGGATGCTTTGGGGTGGGCATCCCACGGGTTGTGGTTTGCCTCAGTTCACCAGTGAATCTCACATCCCTATCACTTACAATAGACTTAGGCGGACAAAAATCGCGTACCCTTGTCCATAAGTAGCTTGATGACATAATCAGTTTTTATTGTTTCAGCCGTCAGGCATAACGATTAGTCTGGCATACTTAGTAAATCTGTCTACAATGATAAAGATGTGTTTTTTTTCGCTCTTACTGGTCACGAGAGTATCCATGAAGTCCATGGACACACTTTGACTGGGTCCAGCAGGGATAGGCAAGGGCTTGATCAACCCAAGCGGTACGTGCGTCCTAGGCTTGTCACGTTGACAAACCTGACAAGTCTTTACATACTTTTTCACATCATTCATCATTGTGGGCCACCAAAATTTTTGTACCAGGTTAGTTGGGGTCTTTTTGTACCCAAAATGACCAGTTGCGTTGTGACACTCCTAAAAATAAACTACGCAAAGACTCTTTATCTGGTACACACAGTCTTTTATTCTCAACCTTCTCAAGGAACAACAAACCTTCAACCAGCATAAACTCATTGGAAGTAGATTTATCTTTAGCTTCCAGTTTGAGAATGATCTCAGAGAAGACCACGTCCTCTCGATATGCTTCCATCATAGATCGAGTTACATCGTCAAACATCCCAAACCCAGTCACTAGTGTGCCCAGATAATCTGCCCTCCTCGATAATGCGTCATCCACTTTATTGTGCTCTCCCTTCAGAGGTTCGAGTTTGAAGTCATACATTTCTATGACTCCAATCCATCTCTTTAGTGCACTAGACAGTACAAGTTGTGTCTTGATCCAGCGCAGTGTCTCATGGTCAGATATTACATAGAAGAATCTGCCTAGGAGGTAGTGCCTCCAATGGACCAACGCTCTATATAGGGCATAGAGCTCTCACTCATACGTGGACTTAGCTAACTTCTGAGATGACATCTTTTTGCTCATGTACTCGATTGGCCTAAACTTTTTCCCCTCGTTCTGCGCAAGGACCGCGCCTATGCCATATTGGCTGGCGTCAGTGATCACAACAAAGAGTTGTTCAGGATCTGGAAGTTTGAGGACTTCATAGTGTGGCAGGGCATACTTCAATCTTTTAAAGGTTGCCTCACACTCTTCGGTCCACTCTCAAGGGGTGTCAAGGCTGGTGACGCATGCTCAGGGGAACAATGCGCAGTAGACCAAGGATCTGCAATGTGATGAAAAAGACTGAAGTGAACAAAGCAATGTCATCATAGCATCAACAAGCAATGTACACCTCGATACATACAAATGGCACAATGTGGCGCAGCGGAAGACTCAAAGATAAGATCTGATCTGACCTGGACTGACCCGACATCCATCGGACATCACACATGTGAGATAAGAGGAGGGACTGCAAACATGGAAAAAAGGTCCCTCCTTCATACGCAACATGGGGGAGATACCACGGATGAGAGATGGGGGAGGGATGAGACAAAGGAGATGGGAGGCGAGAGAGTAGACCCAGATCGCAATGACGAAGTCCAAAATAGTCTCTTGCCGAATGTCCCAACAATGTCCGTCCCAGAAATGTCGAATCAAATCGTGGGCAATATGCCCGTTACAACCTCTACCTGAATCCCTACTGATAACCTCTTACACTCTCATAGAAGAAGAAGAAGGAAGAGGGAGGAGGGAGAAGAGAGACAGAGAGAGAGAGAGAGAGAGAGAGAGAGAGAGAGAGAGA